CTGCCGGCCTACGAGCAACTTAGGTATGTGACCTCTATGTCGACCTGACTGAAAGGTAAGTCGTATGCTGTCCACGCTCACCGCACCATGCGGAGATAACTACTACAACGGGAGCTAGACTACGGGCTAGGTACGGGTGCTCGTGTGATCTCTGCGTTCATTGGTCCTTAGTCGTTTTCCTAGTGCACAAACAACTTGCTAGTTCACAGGGCAAGTTGGCAAGAGTTTCACTAGAAGAAGTTGACAACAATGGTACAATGAAGTTGGCATGGCAAGACTACATCAGAGCTAGCATTCAGGTCGGTCGACTGCCAGCGCAGCATGGTCGACCGTGTTTCAGCACGACTTGGTCGACCGCGCTCCAGCAGTGCAAAGTCGACGGCGTGCCAACGCTGCAGGTTGACGGTATGCCAGCATTGCTCCCGCAGAGCAGCTGCGCACCAGCTTCGCAGGTGCTCGCAGACAATTGGCGGGCAAATCCTTGTCACCTGCACAGCGCAAACACCAAGTCATCCTCGTGCTGACGACTCCACCTGATCCGCCACGTCGACCTCGGGATACCACCACCGAGGTCGGACTCGCCAACTTCGCTTGGGTGACCGTCGCACTCTTCCGCAGAGCTTCGTCACCCAGGTAACCTGGTCGACCGGGCAACCTCGTCGACCAGCTGCTCCCGTTCGTGCCCGCCGACCTCCCAAGTCGACGGCCACCTCAAGTCGACCTCACCAGGTCGACCACGTCCCTGGTCGACCAGCTCCAGGTCGACGTCACTTCTGGTCGACCAGCTCCACGTCGACCAGCAGTCCTGGTCGACCAGCTTCATGTCGACCAGCGCAGTTGTCAGGCGACCACCCAAGCCGGCTACCCGAAGTCGGCGTCACCAAGTTGACGCCCTGCTACTCGACGCCCAACTGCTCGGCGTCCTGAGTCGAGGTCGACGTCGGCCCCTCCTTCGTCGACCACCATTTCAGGTCGACCACCAGCAGGTCGACCAGCAATCCGTCAGCCGACCACCAAAGTCGGCTGCCCCAAGTTGACGTCATCAAGTTGACGTCCCTCCGTAGGTCGACTTCCCAGAAGTCGGCGCCCATTCAGTGGCCTCTGTGGAGGTCGACCTCCTCGTCAACCCGCTCGCCCACTGCTGCAGGTCGGCTGCTCCCCTCACACCCGACCACGAAGTCGGCCCCGCCCAAGCGAGGACGGGGCCAACACACAACTCCCGTTGACATACACTGCGCACTTTACGTTTCCTGACCCGTGAGCAGCGTCTCCTCCGGTTCGAGAGGGAGGAGCGTGAGCGGTTTGAGAGGGCACAGCAGCAGCAGCAGCAGCAGGAGAGAGTGGAGGAGGAGTCACAGCCACAGCAAGAGAGGGTAGAGGAGGAGTCACGGCCGCATCAGGAGAGGGTAGAGCAGGAGTCCCGCCCGCAGCAGCAGGTGCAGTTATAGACACAGCATGAGAGATGAGAGGAGCACTCACGGCCGCACCAGGAGAGGGTAGAGCAGGAGTCCCACATGGAGCAGCAAGTGCAGTTAAAGACCCAGCAGGAGAGAGTAGCGGAGGATTCACGGCCACAGCAGGAGAGGGTAGCACAGGAGTCTCGGTCGCAGCAGCGGGTGCAGCTACAGTCGCAGCAGGAGAGGGCAGAGACGGAGCCACAGGAGCAGCAGCAGGGGCCGGTACCATCGCAGCAGACGCCAGAGGAGGCGGAGCAGCAGCGACTGCAACTACGCGACCTCCCCGACCCTGCACGTGCACGCTTTGTTCGTGGTCCCCTACCGTCCCCTCCTGTTCCCCTCTTGAGTCCCTTTCCTCGTCCCAGTGGACTCGTCGTTCTCCCCTCACTCGTGCTGTGTCCCCAGAGCGTCGTCGGTCCCGCTACCGTGTAGACGGTCCGTTCCACCTTGTTCTTCGCTCTCGTGTTCCACCTCCTCCTGTCCTTCCACAACCCCCTGAGTCGTCCCTCACTGTGCTTCACGACCCGTTGTCCGACTACCTCCGCGCCTCCCGTCCTGTCGTCTCCCGTGTTTTGTCCGCGTTGGTCACTCATCCGACTGCACCTCTGTCGTCTGTCTCAGCACTTGTTACCACTGTCGCTGGCTTTGCCTCTTCCCACCACCTTGACTACGCCGCTTACGTAGTGAGTGGCCCTGCTCGTTCTCCGTTCTCTGGGGGTGCTCCTGTCTTTCCCTTGGAGATCCTCGAGGACAGGCAGTTCGAGCTTGGTTTCCTTGCGGCCGCTGTTCCTCATCTCTGCGCCATGTTACTTACCCCTGAGGGGGATCCGGACGCCCTTGACATCCCGATCCCTCGCACTCACGCCGAGGCGGTCTCGGGACCCTAGGCTTCGTACTGGATAGCAGCTGAGGAGGTAGAGATGGCATCTTATAGGTCCACAGGCAATTACGTCGACATGTCAGAATCCCAGCCACTGGACCACTGAGATAAAAGGGCTTGTTAAGTAACGGGTCAGTGCGCCCATAACCCCCCAGGACAACGAGCCTGTAACCCTTCCCTAGGATCAATCGGGGATCACTAGTGGACCTCTGACACGACGCAGTCCCACCACCTTGGACGAACGTCGTTAGTGGCCGATGGCTCTACAAGGTGAAGCGGCCGCCTGGATCACCACCTGTGTTCAAGGCGCGCTATGTGGCGAGAGGCTTCAGTCAGCGAGAGGGGGTGGACTTCTTCCAGACCTTCGCTCCCACCCTGAAGATGAGTACCCTTCGGTGTTGCTGCATATTGCAGCCCAGCGCGACTACGAGTTGCACTCCTTGGACTTTTCCACCGCGTTCCTTCAGGGGAGCCTGCACGAGCAGATTTGGCTGCGTCGCCCGCCTGGCTGCACTGGCTCTTTCCCACCTGAGACCCAGTGGCAGTTGCGTCGACCAGTCTACGGCCTGCGTTTGGCTCCACGTGAGTGGCACGACACACTTCGCTCCACCCTTGCAGCTCTTGACTTCTTTCCGTCGTCTGCTGACCCGTCACTGTTCGTAAGCTGTGGCTCAACCCCGTTCTTTGTCCTGGTCTACGTCGACGACCTGGTGTTTGCCACTCCCGACCGACGCGCGCTGGCCTCCGTGAAGGAGGAACTGCAGAGGAGACACACTTGCACTGACCTTGGTGAGCTGCAGCACTACCTTGGCCTGCAGATCACCAGGGACAGGGCAGCTCGCACCATTACGCTGACTCGATCGCATATGGTCGAGCAGATCCTCACGCGGTTTTGCTTCCCGTTCTCCAAAGTACAGCTCACCCCTCTTGGTGTGGATCATGGGCTCACGGCTCCACCTTCGGACGAGCCATTCGAGTCCAGCGGTCCATATCCTGAGCTGGTAGGTTGTCTCATGTACGTGATGACCTGCACTCGCTCAGACCTAGCTTACCCTCTTAGCGTCCTTGCGCGCTTTGTTGCGCCTGGTAGACACCGACCTTCCCACTGGTACGCGGCTAAGAGGGTGGCGAAATATGTGGCGAGTACATCAGGCATAGGACTTGTCCTTGGAGGGAAGCAGCCAGTTACACTCACAGGTTACTCGGACTCGTCGTGGGCCGATGACGCGGAGACGCGTCGGTCTACACAGGGTTACTCCTTTAGCCTCGGGGCAGGTGCTGTTTTGTGGCGGTCGACTCGGGCGTCGTCTGTCGCCGGTTCCAGCTGTGAGACAGAGGTGTACGCTGCGGCCATGGCCGCTCAGAAGCTTCGCTGGCTGTCTTTCCTTCTCACCGACCTTGGTGAGCGGCCTCGCTCTCCCCCAGTCTTGTTCACCGACAACATATCTGCTGTCTTATTGTGTGAGGAGCCCCGACTGGTTGGGAAGGCGAAGCACATCCAGCTTCGTTACTTCCTTCTGCGTGAATTGTAGCAGCGTGGCCAGGCCCGCGTGGTACGTGAGGTCTCTGAGGCCAACACTGCAGATATCTTCACCAAGGCATTGCCGCCTTGTGACCACCAGCGTTTCTGCACCCAGCTTGGCCTTCTGCCTGCCCGTCCTCACTTGCTTACGTATAGATGCCTTGTTCGGCATGTCTTGTACTCTTCCATCTCTCTATATTTGCTATATACCTGCATGTGGACTGGCCTTGTGGCCCCTTGCTTGCTCTCGGAGTGTGTGGTGACTTTGAGCCAGGCCCTTTGATTCGTTTTTAGCCTGTCTGATTCGTCAAACTCTAAAACAATTTTAGTTTGAATCTGACAGAGTTGCAAAAAAAAAAAAGGCTGAAAGTTCATAATCAACGCCTATAATGAGTGTGATTGTATTTCTAGCTGTTTTTCTGCACTGTTGGTCTTATTTGAACTACGTAACGTACATTGCAAAAGCCTACATTCATAATGCCACAGCTAGAACTACCCTATTCATGTATCCTACCACTACAACATCCTACTAATTCTCTCCTACTCATTAATCCATCATCATCATCACTGTCAACTGCATCATTATCATCTTCTAGGTCAACTACTTCCATCTCTTCATCTGCCTCCCTGCCCTTCTTATTGTGTTGCTTTCCTGCAGTCGGGAGTGGAGCATTGCTCTGGGGCTTGCGCTTCTTGTAACTCCTCTAGACGGTCACAATCTCATCCCAGTCGGGGGCGTAATCCATCAAGCTCATGCACATCAGGTCCCCCAGGCGTGCATCCTTAAGCGCGCCCCTCTTCCACGACTTAATGATGTTCTGGCGGGAGAACCCCCGCTCGCACTCCACGGTGCTCAGCAGCAGTACAGCAACCGCCACCCACAGAAGCACCAAGTTGGGGTAGTTGTCCCGCCAGTCGAGTGTCTTGAGCATGGCAGTGAGACCCGCGTGAAAACTGCGCTCGCCCTTGGTAGATGCTGCAAGCACCGAGGTGAACATGCGCAGCTCCTTCTCTGCGTGGCGCTTGTCAATTCCTGGCGGGGTAAGAAATATAACAGAGGAGGAGCAATCTCAGAACCCAAATACAAACATTCATTGAAGCGTCGTATGCAATACAAACGATGCGACGAGGTAGCCTGATATTAAAACCATAACAGCCATGGCTTACCTAGCAGGATCTCATCCGTCAGGTCGGCCTTGAACAGCGTGACTAGCGACTGTAGCCACTCGAGGCACCTGCGGTTCCTCTCTCCGCGCTCCAGCGGGTACTCGTTGGGGGCGAAGAGCCTAGCGCCGGACATCCCGTTCAGGTCGCCAAGCCGGTGCTCCAGTTGGTGCACGATCACCTCGGCGAACTCCGTGCAAACCTCCACACAGCCATCGTGGGTGCCGGGCCCGTCGAACTCCTCCAGCTCGTCCTCGTGCAGCACGAATTTGAAGCGTGCTGGTCGGCCGTCCGAATCAATCCCTTCGATCTTCACCTCCCGGTTTTCCTCCAGGCCCATGGCGCACGATGAAGGGGGACAGCAGCTCGCTGACGCCGCCACCGAAGTCGTCTCCGCAATCGACGTAGCGGCTCTCGATGTGGGATGTTGTACGCTTGATCTGTGCATGCACGCTGGCATAATCAAGCTGGAAAGAAACACGCGGAAAGGTGGCTAGTGACTAAATGTAAGAATGCACGAAGCTTGCATAAGCACAAACACTTAACTAGAAACAAGAAACCAGAGCTTACCTCCTTGTGCTGGAAGGCCCTGTTGAGTATGTTCAGCTGCTCAAGCACATCTGAAATGAAAAACAGGAGGAAGTGAAACCTGTAGCTCGTCACCAGCGCATAGAGCGTCGCGTCCCACTCCTTCAACATCACGATCAGAGCCGGAAGGACGGCGACGAGCCTGAGCACTGCGTCGCCCTGCGAAAGCCATCGGACTGCATGGATCCCTTGCAGCTTCAGTGAGGTGGAGGTGAAGACTTCCTGCAGCCCCATGAAGCGCTGATGCCATGGCCCGCTACGACCGAGATGCTCAGCCACGGTGTGGATCACCGTGCCAATGACGTTGAAGGCGGGAATCTTCTATGCGGCTGTTTTAGCCGCCAGTGCCTCCCTGTAAAAACAAAAAGGAAAACATTAGTCACTCGTAGACATTAAATAACTTACAACCCTATGCACCTACAGGCATACCTGTGCGCGATGCAGTGGGATGACACCAAATGGGGGATGCGCACGTGGAGGCGTGTCGTGAGGCCGCTCTTGCTGCCCATCATGACGTTCGCGCCGTCGGTGCTGATGCCTCCAATGCGCTGCAGGTCGACCCCGACTGCCAGGAGGTGTGATAGCACTAAGCCCAGAAGCAAAGCGGCGTCGGCCTTCTCCACGGTGAGTAGCGCCATGAACTCCATGACGACCTTGAAGTCACGGATGAAGCTGATGAACAGGATCATGTGCTTCCCGCTGCACCTATCTGTGCTCTCGTCAATCGAGATGCCGACGAAGGGCGACGACAGCACATGTTGCAGCTGGGTTGTCTAGAGCCATGTAGCTGTAGCTTTGGTCAGCTCACCGAAGCCGTATCTGCACAACCAACAGTCAGTAACAGACATAGTTAGTACATTATTAAAACGTCAGTGTTTAAAAAGAGGCATACGGCAGTTGCACTCACGTGGTGTAGTAGGTGCCGTACCCTCTCTTCAGGAAGCCTTGCACGCCCTTCTCCGACAAGTACCGCACCAGTTTCATCCACACCCCGATGGGCGCGTCGGACCTGCTGATGAACAGCAACAAGTCGAGAAGGGCGACGGTCCGCATCTTCTCACCGTCAACCGCGGCGCGATGTTGGTCGATCTGTTGCTGCCTTGCACCGCACTCCTCGTCAGATGTCTGTCTTGCAACCGCCAGCTTGTGTTTTGCCGTGCCAGCGTGCTTACGGAAAGACTGTGTCTGCAGGTCGGTGGCGCCTTTCCCCCGCCTCCCGCACTTTCCTGCATCGCCAGCATAGGCTGCACAAACGGTACACTTGAACGCAGGCAAGCCGGTAGTGGTTTTAGTGATCCTGAGCCACGAAAAACGGGTAGACCAATGATTTTTTAACTTGTCAATCGCTTCGTCGTAAACTCCCTCGATGAGCTCGGCCAGATTGATGTTGAGGCGAGGTCGCGGTCAGTCAGATGTTCCGGGAGCGTTGTTGACGTTGGCAGTCGACGACGCTGCTTTGTCGAAGGTCAAGGTCGCCTGCTTGAGACGGATTGTGCGCGCCGTGGTCTGAGTCGGAATCGGCGACTGTGAATCGACAGTTGGTTCCGCAGATGTCTCTGCCACACGATCGGGAGAAAGTGATATAACTGGAGCCGCGGGTGCTTTCTGCATGGGGATCGTATCGGGCGTGGCGCGTGCTGCCTTATCGAGATCTAGTGAACTAAGCAAGAAGTCTAAGCCTGTTAAGGCGGGCCGCTCATCAGGGTCGTCGTCGCCTGTGGCGGGATTGTCCAGCACCGCCATGGCGGGGCTGTGAAAGAGCCTGCCGAGCAGGAACTAGAGAGATGATGGCTGAGACAAAACAGGGCACTGGCTGGGGCCCGTGAGTTGAAGCTGAGGGGTGTGGATGAAACCCTAGCAAAAACAAGAAGGCCTTTTACCAAGATGGGCCATCATTGAGTTGTGTGGGTGGTTGCCTAGCATGCACGGCAACGACGAGGCGCATCGTTGTAGTGTGTGGTGTGGATGTTGCAGCATCGTGGTACACGATGCTGCCTAAAGGACCAATCCAATGCTTAGGGACGGTGCCAACAGTTCTTGTTGGCACCGTCTGCTTGCCATCACGCTTACGTGGGTGGCAACTGCTGCAGCATCTTGTACAGGGGTGGTAGTGGAGTTCGTGACGGCGGACAAAAGATGCCCAACGCACCAATCAGTGCGCGGGGAGGGTGTGAGCTGGAGCTTACACCGAGGGAAACAACGCGCCGCAGGGCGGGTGAAACATCCTGCTGTACGAGGGAAACATCGGGCCGCAGTGCGGCGGTACAGGTACAGGTACAATGTATGTACCACAGCTAATCCTGGGTGTCGGCGCGCAGGTAGATTCAATCAGAGTCGGAACTCGTTTGTACTCTGAATTCATCAGAGTACACTCCCGAAAAACTCTGAAACGTCAGAGTCAGCCTATAAAAAAATCTGATTTTCACAGAGTTGAGGCAATAAAAATTCTGAATTTTTCAAAATCTGAAATCTCATACTAAAACAAGCAAATCAGACAAAAAACTCTGACTTCTGGGGGCCTGCTTTGAGCTCCACCCTGAGATTTGTCTTATTCTTGTGGACTGGTCTTGTGACAGTTGCTTGCTCTTGTTGTTTCTACAGGACTACCGTCACCTAGACTATGGGGGTGTGTCAAACTATAATTCTATAGTTTGTGTAGTTCTAGTCTAGGTGTTCTCCCTTGTGTTATTTTCTACTTGCACTGGGGTTAGGTTTTGCATATATCTTTGTTTGTACTTTCTATTTTAGTCATTCTTACATTGTGACAGCGAGCACTACTCCTAGACCCCCCACAATGAGCGTGCCACCCACGAAGCTGCTGGGGCGTAAGGGTCTCGCGCGGACGCGGCTGCAGCTGCACCGGGCCACCGCCAGAAACTCCCAACTGACTGCCACTACTGCCGCCGCCACGACACCTACGAGCGTACCACTCACGAAGCTGCTGGGGCGTAAGGGTCTTGCTCGGACGTCGCTACAGCTGCATCTGGCCACCGCTAGAAACTCCCCGATGAACGGCTCCAAAGCGACTGCTACTGAGGCCACCACCACTCCCACTACTGCCGCCACCGCCGCCACCACTCCCACCGCTGCCGTGAAGAGAAGTCATGCGACCAGCAGGGCAACACAAAAGGAAGGGCGGCGAGGAGGCACTAGGGTAGGTCGGGGCGGTGCACGGTCAGGGAAGGGCGGCGCATGGCCAAAGCAGGGCGGCGTGTTGTTAGAGCAGGCTGCGCGCGGCCAGAGCAGTATTGAAAGGCTAGGCAAGAATCAGAAACAGGAAAGAGGTTTTTCACTAGCATGCAGTTGAGTACATATAGCAAACCCTAATTCGGGTTGTACTCGCTATAGAGTACCCCACTGCAGGCTACACAAACATCACATTCTGACACACCCCCATAGTCAATGTGGGGTACAATCAATACAACAAGCAGGCAGAGCAGTAGTTCACAATTATAAGCAAAGCTAGAGGCAGTCATAGAGGGCAAGTGAGGAGGAGGAGAAACTGTGAGGGCGAGAAGATGGGAGGTGACGGCTGAAGTTGCAGACACACAGGCAGCAGGAGTGCGCAGCACTGTCGCTACCAGGCTAAACCCGGACTACACGGCGACAGACGCAGCTGGCTCACTGTGCTCCCAGGAGTGCACACACTGTGGCTACCGGGCGCAGAGCCCCGGACTACTCAGGCCACAGGGGGTCGTGGCTCTCTGGACTACCAGGAGTGCTCACACTGTGGCTACCGGGCGCAGAGCCCCGGACTACTCAGGCTACAGGGGGTCGTGGCTCTCTGGACTTCAAGCGCTGCGGACGACAAGTCGGCTACCTCCGGTCAACCTCCCCCAACTGTCCCACACCCCTTTCACACACTCCCTGCTGCACCTCTAGCACTGCTCCCACGCCACCCCCCTCGTACCACTCCGACAGCTCCAACACATCCACCCCCCTCAGCGGCAGCTGCAGCAGTGGGAGACGGAGGAGGAGGAGGAGCAGGGGACGGCTCACACACCCGGCACCCCCATACTCTCCACCCCTAAACCCTAACACAGGAGCGCGAGCAGCAGCGGGGGTGGGGCGCGGTCAGAAGCTCGGGATGAACCGCACGCGGGCTGCCCGGGCCGCGCGCGGGCCTGGCGTAGCCCGTACGGGCCGCGCGCGGGCCTGGCGCAGCCCGTACGGGCCGCGCGCGGGCTGTACGGGCCGCGCGCGGGCCGCGTCGGGCGACGGGGGGCGACACGACGGTCGACGGGGGGCGACACGACGGTCTACAAGCAGTAGAGCAACGGAAGCATCGGGTGGGGCCCACCCACAGGATCGACCTAGGAGGGTCGACCTGCTCTGATAGCATGTTGAAAGGCTAGGCAAGAATCAGAAACAGGAAAGAGGTTTTTCACTAGTATGCATTTGAGTACATATAGCAAACCCTAATTCGGGCTGTACTCGCTATAGATTACCCCACTGCAGGCTACACAAACATCACATTCTGACAAGCAGGGCGGCGCGCGGCCAGAGCAGGGCGGCGCGCGGCCAGAGCAGGGCAGTAGCAGGCAGCAGCAGGCAGTAGCTCCTAGGGCAGCTGCACCTAGGGCGTTTTTTGTTGTTTTTTTTTTTTTTTTTTTTTTTTTTTTTTTGGGTTGCGAAGCAACCTATTACGATCGATTTGGACAGATTTTTTTTTTCACATTTTTTTTATTCAAAATAGAATATGAATAAAATAAAACTGGATGCACTAGTTGCTAGCTACATGACCTGTAGTAGGTATTGTCTAATTCAATTGTGATGCGATAGTAGTGATTTATCTGTTGGCAGTATATTTTTGTATGTTGAATGGTACAATGGTAATTATGTGACTGTCATGAAATGCATATATGTTATTTAATGTACACATGCTTAAATGAATATAATGAAACCTACTTGAGTGAGTGTAATGATACATGCTTAAATAAATATAATGATAGAAAGTATATAAATGCATTATGCAATGATGATATTAGTCCTTCAGTATGCATAATGTGTGATGTTGAAATAGACGCATACCAGTACATGATATAAATGCGTGACAGCTAACGATCCAAAAACTATGCTATTGAGAAAGCTTGCTTTCTTGTCCTTATAATTTGACATCGTTCTCATTGCAACTGGGCATCGTTCTCATTGCAACTGGCTTATTACAACATATGCATTGTTCTTAAACACATGCTAGTATATGCAAATATTACTAGCTATGGAGTCGTCCGTCC